TGAGCCTAGTGGGATTTGAACAGCCGAACTGCTGAACTGCAGTCAGCTGAAGTAGCCTGCAGTGCTGCATTTAACCACTGCGCCACCTCGGCTATTTGTCTGAAATGCTACAGGGCAGTCGCCTTTTTGTAAAGGCAAGCCAAAATTTTGTGTGTGCGTGTGTGCACTATTGAGTGTGTGTGTGTGCCCACACTCACAAGTCAATGCGCCCCTGCCAACCTGCACATGGGGGGGGGGGGAGATTTCAGCCTCCCCAGACTCCAGAGGCTTTCCTGAAGCCTGAGGAGGGTGAAAACGGCATTCCCCCCCCCCCTTGCTGGGCAGCTGGAGATGACGGTTGGCGTGCCAGCAGATATGGCTCCGCGTGCCATAGGTTCGCTATCACGGCTATAGGGTCTCCTGCTCAAGCAGAGGGTGGACTAGAAGACCTCCAAGGTCCCTCCCAACTCTGTTATTCTGTGCTTTATGATCCTCCTTACCTTCAGCAGGAAAGCTGTTCGACCTCTAAAACAGGAGATTGTGAAAATGCTGGCTGAGATTCCGTTTTGCTTGCTAGCCTCCCCTGTGATGAACCCGCAGGATGGTTTGAGGTGTCAGCTGATTTCTAGCAGGCACAGCCCCGAAAAACCCTCCCTTATCAGGGCCCACTTTCCGGCGCCTGAGACAGCCTTCTATTTTGCTGCAGAGGCTTTCTCAGCTCCTGTGTTCTCCGGCGGCCCTGATAAAAACGGCTTCAACCTCGGCTTTCTCAGAAACCTTCAGCAGGTGTTTGGGGAAGAGAAGAGACTCTGGTTATTCCCGGTGAAGTCCAGGTAAGTAAAAAGCAACCCACCAGCCATGGAGACAGGATTTGAGTTCCCCTTCTCTCATCTCCCTCCCCCCCAAAGGGAAGTTTGGGGGGGGTGTAAGTGGGGATAGGACCCCCGGAGCCATGGGGCAGCAGGAACCTGTCTGGGTGCTCTGCAAATCTTCTTTTCATTTAAAAAGAGTCAGGGAGAAGCTGGTCTGCTTCTTTGTGAAAAGAAATCTGCTGGCATGGCTGGTTCCCCAGGATGCCCTTCTGCCAGGGGATGGGATGGCATAGTGGTTAAAGACGCTGAGCTTGTCAGCCAGAAAGCTGGCAGCCTGTGTTCGAGATCCGAGTGCTGCATGACAGGGTGTGCTCCCGTCTTCGACTCAGCGCCAGCCCACCTAGCAGTTGGGTAGCATGCAAATGCGAGTAGATGAATAGGTACCATTTTGTTGGAAAGGTAACTGTTCTGACTGAGGCTTCCCAAGAGCNAAAAAAAGCAGAATCCTCGATTATGAATAATCTAGAAAAGAACAAAGTCTGTGGTTTGTTTCTTTTCCCCCTCATGTGGTTCCTGACATTTTTCTCTTTTTTTAATAGGTGCGTGTTAAAAATGGACCATCACTGCCCATGGTAAGAACTCTTGAGGACCATTTCATTAATCCATCATATACACATTAAAGTGTTTCAGGGATAGAGGTGTATCAATTTCTGAAATTGACCGGATCATTCCACCAACATTGCTTAAAATTCAGAACTCCAACTTTGGTTCAGCTACTCCAATAAAAAATCATGCGAAACGGTGCACACCTTCAAATTGTTATGCATAGAAAAGTGTGCAAAAATGTGCCATGAATCCATTGTGCATTATGCATGTGAAATGGCATTCTTGATGGAATGCTTGGCATCTTTTTCCCCATTGCCTTGAGAAATATTTACCCAATCCATTTATGCTTTTGAACGACCTGCCAAAAGAAAACGGAATATCACATTGGTGGGTTTACACTATTTCCGTTTCTGCTACTCAGAAAGAAGGACTGGGTGTTTATATCTCAAGTATAAAAGTTCATTCTTAATGTTTGTCCATCCCAAATCTGGAAAGGAGGTTCAGAATCTCATATTCCATTAACAGGAATTCTTATTGTACCTCTCTTTGGTGCAGATTGTCCTTATTTTGGTATATTTCCCCCAATATGTTTTGGGGGAATTCCACAAATGCATAATAAATGGAACTATGCCTTTGTGCCAGGTGTGTTCCAACTACCTGGTTTTATTTCTTGGACCTTACTCTCCATAAAAATGGAGGCCCAGAATGTCTTCCAATAAATTTGAACTAGAGCCATTTTAAATTTATACATATTAGAAAAAAACAATCTAAAATATGCCAAAGAGGATTGTAGTAGACTTGGGCATTATTAAGAAAAGATTTTCGTGCATTGGCTTTTTGGTTTTCTATTTTAGGGCAGTCTTTCTCAACCTTAGCAATTTTAAAATGTCTGGACTTCAACTCCAAGAATTCCCCAGCCAGCAAAGTTGAGAAATACTTCCATAGAGCAAAGCAAGATCTGCCTCTCAAATATTGTTCGTTCCCTGGAGCCTTGCAGAAAGCAGTGTTTGTCGACCTTGGCAACTTTAAAATGTGTGGACTGCAACTCCCAGAATTCCCCAACCAGCCTTAATGGTTGGGGAATTCTGGGAGTTAAAAGTCTACATATCTTAAAAGTTGCTAAGGTTGAAAAATACTGATTTAGACATTTATATATGCAGATATAGTTCATTTTCTATGAATGACTAGATGAAAGATGCAGGAAGAATTACTCGATGAAGATTGGAATATACCATGAAATGAAATGGATATTTACAAAGTACTAGAAGGAGAAAACCAGATCTTAATAATGAAGAAGGAATGAAGAAGATTTTTTTGAAAACACTTGTATATTAGCTGGACACTAGAGAGGATCGATCAAGCCCTGGCTCTCTGCAGTGATACAGAAATTAAAATTATGTTTGAGACTTTCATTTTTGGACACCATATCCAAGAGGAAGAAGGATACAAAGATTATTAGGGAAGAAAACTACTATCCCAGTTGTCTTAAGGAGGGGCTAAAATGCAGTAAAACAAAGATGTCAGGTCTAACCATATCCTAGTTTGGGGGGCAGTTTAAGCCTTGATCTGAAGTCCGGGTCTATCTGCTTCTGGGAGAGGCAGGAAGAGGCAGGTACACCTGGGAGGAGGCTGGAGGGGGGGAGGCAGTGGTGGGTTCCGGATTCCATTCCAACCGGTATGGTTGGAATGACCCCGGCATCACCCACATGCATGCGTGCGGTGCGCACATGCATTGTAGCGTCAAATGATGCTTTCCCAAGCCTTCATGATGCTCCAGCTGCTCAGTGGAGCATTATGCAGGCACTGTACACACCATGCATGTGCGCGGAAGCGCTGACAGCTTTAAACCACAGTAAGGAGCGCAAGCGGGCGGATGAGCCCTCCAGAGCACCGTACCGGAACGGTACCCATTGCTCTGGGCGGGCTCTGGTATGCCTGGAGGGAGGGCATTAGGGGGTCTGGGACTGTGTCCATGGACTGGGTGTATGCAGGGACTCTTCTGTGAGCTGGGCGTTGGCATTGGGCTGCATCAGAGAAACGAGGCTGCTTGTTACTGCTTTTGCTTTTCATAGCATCATTTCTCCAAATGTATTTTGATTTCACCTTCCTTCCTATTTTTTCCTCCAGGGTGAACAACTGCATCGGCTTTTCTAACTACAAGTTCTTCCTACTGTTTTTAGCCTATTCTCTGTTGTACTGCATGTTTATTGCAACAACAGTCTTCAAATATTTCATCAAATTCTGGACAGTAAGTTGGGGGGCCTGGTGGCCGTTTACTTTCTGTATGTCATGGGAGTCTGAAATCTTCTGGGGTGAAAACCAGCCCCAGGGGGAACACAATTCATTCCAAACAGAACAAAGTTGCAATTGTGCAAGGGATTACTACAGTCCTAATCTTTCAAAACTGGGTAAATTCATTTCTACTTCAAGCTAGTGTCTTTTTTATTTATCATTAAAATATATAATGGATCATATTCCCCTCTCATTCAGCCGTTTTTGTCTTGTAATCAGTATTGGTGTAACAGAGTTGGAAGGGATCTTGGAGGTCTTTAGTCCAACCCCCTGCTCAAGCAGGTTTAGGGTTTCCTAACATTTTAGACAAATGGTTGGCCAATCTCTTCTAAAAAAAACTTCCAGTGTTGGAGCATTAACAACTTCTGGAGGCAAGTCACTCCACTGACTGTTTTCTTTGTCAGGAAATTTCTCCTTAGTTCTAGGTTGCTTCTCTCTTGGTAAGTTTGCACCCATTGCTTCCTGTCCTGCCCTCAGCTGCTTTGTGGTCAGGGCTTCAGGGTCTCCATGCTGGGGATTTCTGGAGTTGAAGTCCATGCATCTTAAATTTCCTAAGGTGGAGAAATAGTATAGGTAGTTCTCAACTTATGATCACAATTGAGCTCAACATTTCTGTTGCTAGGTGAGACAGTTCTTAAGTGAATCGCTGCAGTTGTTAGGTTAGTAAGGTGGTTAAGTGACTGTGGCTTCCCCATTGACTTTGCTCATTGGAAGGTCGCAAAAAATGATCACATGACCCCGGGACGTAGCAACCGTCATAAATACATGCCAGTTGCCAAGTACCTGAATTTTGATCATATGACTCTGGGAATGGTGCAACAGTCAAAAGTGAGAAAAATAGTCATGTGCCTTTTTTAGTGCCATTGTAACTTTAAACGGTCACTAAATGAACTTTTGTAAGTTGAGGAATACCTGTCCTATAATCGTACAGGAAATTAGAATTAGAATTACAGTTTGTTTAGTGACCATTCAAAGTTACAACATCAGTGAAAAAAGTAACACAAGCAGTTTTTTCACACTTACAATCCTTGCAGCATCTCCATGGTCATGTGATCAAAATTCAGGTGCTTGCCAATTGATTCACGCTTATGATGGTTGCAGTGTCCTAGAGTTACGCGATCCCCTTTTGTGACCTTCTGACAAGCAAAGTCAGATTCACTTAACTGTATCTAACTCCCAATAGCCTTAAGCAAAGACCATCAGGGAGGAAGGAAGGGGGACGCCGTTCAGCCACATCTGGAGGGCAACTGAGTCATTCCCGTTATGTCTTGGAGGGGCTCTGCCACAGCCAGAGCTGCAGAAAAAAAGAATCCCTCTGCCAGTGGTGGGATTCAATTTTTTTTACTACTGGTTCTGTGGGCGTGGCTTGGTGGGCATGGNTTTTATCCACCCTGGCCAAGGAGCAATTCTGGTTCAGACCGATGCAGCCTGTGGATGTACCAGCAAAACCTGAATGAACTCAGCCGAGAATTGCTATGAACTCAGCCCAGGTTGTGGTCGTCCCTGTGCTTAGCAGCTGGGATCTTAATATAGCCTTGCAAGAGGGAGCCAGGCTGGGAAGTCGCTGACTGCTTTTTTAAAATTTCCTGCTCCTCAGGTTTCACTCTCAGCTACCAGCTCTGTAAACATTTTCATTTTGTTTCAGGAGATGAGTTGACAAGAATGGAGGACTAAGATATTGGGGTGAACTGGAAGGAGGGCATATCGGGAATCAAAGTAAACCCTCAAATGTTTATTTTCCTTAGGCTGGCAAAAATGATATGATTGTTTATCTAGTAGGCTGAGATAATGTACATTGGAAAAAGCAGTGACACACACACACACACACACACTACACACACATATAGATGACTTACTCTCTGGAAAAAAATACTGTGGAAGTAAGACACCTCTAACACCCCTTCGTGTGTGTCTGTGTGTGTCTGTGTGTGTCTGTGTGTGTGTTCCAGCATAACTCTGGAATGCCTGGGCCGCTGAAATGAAAAGGAGTGAATTATATCTATAGTGTCAAATCACAGTAGTTTTGACAGTATAGTGTGCATTTTGGATTCAAGTTCTGTTAAGATACAGCTTGCTGTGCCTTAAAATGGCTTCTACTGTACAGCAAAGTGGAGTTGCAATAATAATGGGCTCACAGTACTCCACAAGGGGGCTCCCTTTGGTGAGGGGGCTTTGTTCCGACTTTTCTAGAATCCTCCACGATCTCTTACATTTTTCCACATTTCAAAACAAAGCTGTTTCTATTACACCAGTTCACCAAAACCCTTGCAGTAAGCACCCTCGTTATCATTGGGAATAAGGCCCACTATTGTATCATCTGCATACTTCACGGTACCGTTGGTGGCAAACCAACGTGACCCCAGGAGTCTGCCACCGTCATAAATGTGAGTCGGTTGCCAAACATTTGGATTTCGATCATGTAACCAGAGGGATGCTGCATGGGTGATAAGTGTGACAAATGGACATATCATTTTTTTCAGTGCCATTGCAACTTCGAATGGTCACTAGATGAATGGTGGTAACTTGAGGACTTCCTGTACCATAAAAGCAGTCAAAGTAATAGCAATATAGCAGTAGACTTATATACCGCTTCATAGGCCTTTCAGGCCTCTCTAAGCGGTTTACAGAGAGTCAGCATATTGCCCCCAACA